ATTTATCGTTGCTGGAGATAATTTTCATGTGAGTAGGTGATGAGTCATGAAATGTTAAGGCCAATTGAATGTACGAATATAAGACCTGCTTTATTGGTCTTGTAACTTAAAAGGGTGTGTGTGTGTGTGTGTGTGTGAATCATCACAGTGAAATAAATAGTATTACTCTTTCTAAAATATCAGAGATGGAGGTGTGAAACAAAACATACATGACCTTCAATGCATTATATGTGTTGCAGATTACGTGCTAGATAAATAAATGGATAATGCTAGATGTACATAGACATCTACATAAGGGTGTCCATAATGCTGATGTGGCAATTATTCGGTAATTGATGTGTAAGTGTCAGATTTGAATTAAATGTGGGATCACATGCCACATCAACATTATGGACACCCTTATGTAGATATTTATGTACCTCGAGCATTATCCAAAATAAAAAGGCTATCCATTCATGTTCATTGATGTTTAATGAATATTTGACATGAGAGGCAAAATACTAGAGTGAGAGAGAGAGAAAATGAAAGAGATGATATTTTAAGTTAGAATAATACTTTTTGTAAACACTATATACAAACAACAATCTATATGACAGTTGTATCACTGTCACATTGCTCAATGAATAAAAATTCATCAAAACTTCAATGACGAATGAGACAATTATCTCACTTCCATATAGACGGATGTTTATAACCAGTGTTACAAATAACGTTACTATTTAAGTTAAATTACAAATGATCATGATTTTTAGAATTAAAATATGTACAAACAGTGAGATTCAACAAATGTTTAATTATCTGATTTTTCAGCATAAGAAACTTAAATGAAATTATTGGCCTAATTTTTTCTTATTAAATATGTAAATTTACCAAGTTATGTTCAATTTTATAGACATGACAAATGTGCCAGAAGAAAAGTCCAGCATAGCGGCTTGGCCCAATAAGAAGCGCTCAGGAAGCAGCACATTTCATGAGTCTATTTGGGTTTATGGAAGTGGAAATTAAACAAGCACAGTTTTTTAAAGATTACCATAACAGGTTGAAGGTTTGTTTATGCAAAAATCAGGTGGTAATTCTATATTTTAATAATAATATATGAAAATAAATTACACACCACCTTCTAATCTATCCAGAGCCAGATTTAATCCCAATTAGTTTCTCTCTCTAACCTATCATTTCTCTCTATTAATCTCTTTGCTTTCTTTCTTTGCCATTTTGGCTCTACACTATCTCTTTCACCGTTTCTCTTCTACTCTCTCTGGAAGTAGGAACCGATTTCTAAGATCTCACTTTCCCAATTTTTCAATTAGGGTTCAGATCACCGCTGCAGTGATTTTGTGGTTGTTTGCGGTAGTCTATGTGATGATTTTTGGTAATTTTTCTGGTGGTTTTTGCGGCGATTTTGTGGTGGTTTTTGAGGTGGTTTGTGGTGGTTGTTTTTGAGGTGGTGGTGCTTGTGGTGTTGGTGGTGATCACATGTTCATAGAGTTTATGTCAAATGATGTGTTGATATCTGTTGGTGGTGCCTGTAGCGGTGATAGGTCACAAGTCACATGTACTAGGTCACTGATTATTGTGTATTGGCCACATATAAATATTCACATATCACAACAAACTGGTCCCAACTTACACTCCACAAGTCATATATCTATGGTCATTGTCTATGAGTCACATATCAATGTTCACAGGTCACGGGTCACTTTGAGTAAGTAGATCACAGATCAAAGTCCACATGTCTCACATTAATTAAAATTGGTCATAGATCAATGTCCATAGGGTCACAAGTCATATGTCAAAGTGCATAAGTTATAGATCACAAATTCAAGAGATCCGCTTACACACCATTGATATCTCCGACCTCAATTCTCCAAATTGGTCACAAATTCAATTAACCAGATTTTAACGGTGAGAATTGAAGTTATTTGCTCCGTTGAGTACTTTGTAAGTGGCTATTTTTCAATTTCTAATTTTAAAAAATAGATTTAAATTACACCAACACTGTTCAGTCATCGACAATAATATATCAATGTTCTCCAACGACTATTATGTTTCTCCCTCTATCTCTGCTATCTAAGCCAACAATGCTCAGTCGTCGCTAAGCGACAATCAATTCGTCGCTGAAAAAGTTGTTGGCTATCTCTGTAAATTCTATCTTTCCTCCAATGAAGTTATTTGGATGTCGATGACTGCGAGGTTGGATGTTGACGAACGACTGCGAGAAGTGGGGACGAGGGTTTGGTGGGGTGGTGGATTAATTTAATTTAATAATATTAATATTTAAAATTAAAATATTGAATTAATACCTGACTTTTGAAATTTTAAACGCAATCTCTAAAAATTAAACTGGTGCATACTTAATACCTGATATATGATTTTTTTCCCCCCTTTATGGAATTAGGAGATTATCTACTTTAAGACGGGTTTGACCAATCAGATGAGTCTGGCCCACTAATAGAGAGCCTAGCTGGTAGGATGCCATTAAAAACAAGAGTAATGCTACATGTATATAACCATTCACATAATGGTTCACATAATTACACGTGGCATGTGCTCCTGCCTTTAATTCAACTTTCACACTAACACATCAATAAGTGGATGATTGCCACGTAACCATTATGTGAACCATTATGTATAGGGTTATATACAACTAGATTAATCCATGTCTATTTACAGGATATGACTTTGTTAAGGAAACATTATAATCTCAAAAGTATTATTCTTTCCTAAAAGGACTCTTCATTTTAGTTCTAATCCGGANATTCATGCTTATTTATCGAGTAATGATATTTAGTGTACATGCCCATGTAATAGTGAGTCATTGTTATATTCGGGACAACGTGATAGTTGTTCACTATCACATATACTGATGCTTAGTCTGTTAAATATATTAGTTTTATTCTATTTTAAAGATAGATTAATCATTTTATTTATGTTTGTACAATTATTTAAAGCTTTGTTTTCTTGTATTTTCATTCATTCAATTAATCAAGAACCATGTCCTCTTTTTTCTGTTTCCTCTCTATTTGTATTATTGATTTAACACCACTTGGATAGATTGTATTATTCTCATTTCTCGTAAAATTTGACTTTCCAAATGATGTGATCAGATGGTAACAAATTTGAAGGTAAGTGACAAATTGTCAGTTCGAAGTTTGATTTCAACTTCTATAACTTTATCCATTAATTCTGAATTTATAATTTTTCTTTTCCTTTTTTCCCAAGGAATATCTTTTTTGGTGATTAAAAATTAGTTGCATCTTTCCTTATCAGTTACCATGAAAGTTGAAATTTTCATGTTAGGTTCTCCAAAACGATATGAGAATTAGGAAAGAATTTTCAGGCTGAATCCCGAGTGATAAAAGTTTGATGGTATGTCTCTATCCACCGCATCCTCACCCAGATAAGTAGTTCTTGCAGGTATTTTTTTTTTGCATTCAGTTTTATGTTTTTCTTGGGATATTTACTAATTAAATGTTTTTGTAGGATGGTGAAGTCACGTTTCCACATAGCTACTACAGTACATTAAAATTACTTCGAGTCAATTTAAAAAAAATAAAATTATTCAACAAACATTCTCTAGTAAAATGACTTAACTCTTAGCTAAAAAATCAGGCAATAAATACGTCACATGGAGGTGTGTATACTTAATGAAAAGAACTTGGGTAATAAAACGAGTAATTAATGTAGAGTATAGACCCTTGGCACGAAGGTGTATGAGTAGAGGTGTATGGTCAAAGGACATCAATTTATATCCATAAAAATATGGTCCATTGTATCCTTGTCTACGTCTTTGTCTTGTACCACTAGGGCCACCATCAACTCATCAAAGACAAGAATCCAAATCATCAATTTAATTTTGGTCAACATTTAATAATAATGGCAAAAAGCAGCTAATTATTTTATTGTTGATCATCAACTTATTGTTTGAGTAACAATATGGTCTTCAATCTTTTAAAATGAGCAAGGTGGTCATCAAACTTTTTATATATGCACATTGGTTCCCATAATAAAAAAATGTACAAATCTTCATTAAGTCATCACTTAAACCTCAGGAAAACATGCTCACCACTTCATTTAATATGATTATCTAAGGTTCTTGGGAGTTTTGGGGCACCAGTTATGGGGTTTTATTAAAGTATTGATTCGGGTTACGAGGAATCTAATTTTAGATGATTTTATCCAGCTCATGTTTAAGAGTCTATTATTCAATGACTTTAAACGTTTTTTTTTTCAAAGAATAAGCCCCTTATTGAAATTCTTTGCTCATAGACGATATTTTATTTATAATTAATTTTTTCACATATAAGTTAATTTTTAACTTAAAAATGAAATATTAATTATTATTAGTTTTTAAAGTTATACATAATTTTTTACTTGTAAGTAAATTTTATAGTCATAAGTTAATTTTGTACTTATAAATACATTTTTGTACTTATAATTATTTTTTTTATATTTTATAAGTGATTTTTTTATCTTATTAGTAACATTTTTACTTTATTAACATTTTTGCCATAAATGTGTATTTTTATTTTATAAGTAATTTCTTGCTTATAAGTAATTTTTAGACTTACACAAATTTTTTTTAATAATTGAAAATAATTATTTTATAGATGATAAAATTAAAATAGAATTTGAGAAACGATCGAAACCAATCAATTTGATGGGTTGAGAAATATGACCTTGACTACACTACAATGATAAACTTGTGTTCGATGAAAGTAGATACCTACACGCATGTTCAGTGAAAGCAACTCTAGTTATACGCTTCCAATCCTATTCTACTAAAAATAAACCAAGGAATAACATAGAGCAAAGACAAGGTGATTCTTTTCATCATTTAACAAAAATTATATCCAAAAAAAAAAAATTCTTACATACAATACTACAATTCTTTATGTACTCAAATCATGACCATCATGTCACCTATTTCCCTTTCTTTTCTTTTTTCTTTTTCCCATTTTATCCTTGCAGCAAAAATAGATTTTCAATTAAGGACAAAATCAAAACGGAACGACGTCGCTGCAAGCAAAATCATCAGAATTTGCAATTGAGTCCTCCGGCCATGAATCCCGCAACAATTTCAGGAGCATTTGCGCTTTACGCTTTGCTCTCTCTGTACAATCACTCTGAACAAGCAATAACAGCTTAGTCAACACGCCGGCAGCCACCGCTTCACGCTGAGTCAACTCGGAGGCAGAGCAGAGCGAGAGCAATGCTCCGGCTGCGTACTCGGTTGCTCGGTCGGAGATCTTTAGAATGATTTTCACCAGAATCGGTACTGTCAGCGAATGGGCTGCGAATGCGGCGCAACCTGATGGAATCCGGCAGAGTAGTTCAACTGAGGCAAGTGCTCTCTCGGAATCGCATTTCTCGAATTCCCCCAGGCGCTCAATCAGAGCCTCCACCGCTCCAGCCGCCACCGCCTTGTGCCGGTGTTGCTTCACCAAGCACAAGGCGAACAATGCCTTGATTCCAATTTTCAATGCCTTTGGATATGCTAACGGAAAGTTCAATATTCCAACGATACCATCGAAAATTCCGGGAGCATTACTGATTTGTGCTCGGAGATCCGGGGACCTTATCCCGGCGACGACAATCTCAATCAATGCCGCCGAGTTGACTCGGACTTCAACCGAAGAATGAAACAGTAAATTTACAAGGTATCCAACTCGGTCGGGATCGGCTGCCACAAACAGACACTCCGGCTCCGAAAGCAAAAACAGGGACAAAATCGCGACAGACTCGTGGCTTAATTCGGAAAAATTCGAATCCGAATCCAAATCGGAAAATGCAATAGCGAGAAGAATCTCACGTGCGTTATTCGCCGCAATGACGGATCGATTCTTATCTGAGTCACGCGCGAGTCCTCTGAGTCTCCTCAAAGCCGACAATCTCAAGCCAAACGGCGTCGACTCAGAAGATGCCTTATTCAACAAATTCCTCACCATTGTCGGATCCGCAGGCTGTTTCGGGGTAGGAATTCTCTCAACACCAAAAGACTGGTTGGCAACGCACCAGTCCTGAATAAGCCGCCGGAGAGTATGATTCGGAATGAGAGTGAAATCCGTCAACGGCAAGCGTGTGACTGGGCACGTCGTATTTCCTGTAGCCACCCACGACTCAATACTGGTTCGATCATACGTCTGGCCCGTGCAAACAGTCACCGGATCACGCATCAGCTCAAGCGAAATCGGGCACCGAAAATGGTATGGGATCTGCACGCCCACATCCAATGGCTCCAAACTCCCAGGCATGTTATATTCTTCCCCAATTCGTTTATATCTCTATATATATGTGAATATGATCTGTAATCTTTTTGTTTGTATAACTCTATATGTATATATAAGAATGAGAACTAGAGAGAAAGCGGATAGAGAGAGGAGGGACTGCAAATTCTCTTTCGGTTTGCTGAGGGGAGTGATGGGTTATATACGAAATGGAACAAAGGGACACGGCCAGGGAATTCTTCTCTGTGAACATGTACTACTACTGCTGCTATTCCCCGCACGTGTGTTTGTATCCTTGGGTTAAGGATTTAACCATGGTTGGTTTTTGGCGTTAGAGACTGGTTTGGTCAAAGATGTATAAGGACTGGAGAGGAATCTGGGGCCCACTTTCATGCTGAAATCTAACTCATGTTTACATCAATGTGAATTGAAATCGCCCTGTTTGTTTATTACTTGATTTGAGATTAGTTGGGCTAATTAATGTTTCATAATTATTAATAATCATAGCTTTATTCTTTATTTTTCTACGTACCATTCTTGTTTCAAAACTCATTCGGTCCTTCGAAAAAAAGGGTTATGCTACATGTATCGAATTTTTATATCGAATCTTTTACAACCCACTCACATTAGGAGGTGGAGACTACAAACTGGAATTTTTAAATATAGATGGGGCCTGCAAGCATTGTGAGAGGGGGACACCATTCGGCACCCCCATTCTGGCTAAGAAGAATAATCCCGAAAAAAAAACCTCGATTTTTATAATATTGCTAAAATTAGGTGATTGACAGAAGCTAGTGTTTTAAAATACAGTGCAACTTTTATAGATTTTGTCTTACTCAAGTTCTCATATTGCTTAAGTATTAGAATCGATCTAGTAGATCAAAGGATTTAAAGTAGGATTGTATGAGTGGATGTATGTCGAGTTGGTTTCATTTGATGTTTGGTCCAACTTGAAACTAAGCTTATCAATTTGGTTTGATAATTTATCAAACTGAATCAATTCAAAATTGAGAATAAAACTAAACCCACCGAAATCGAACAACCTTTGATCGATTTAGTTTAGGTTATTCGATTTGGTTTTGGCTCAATTCAAACAAAGTCATTTTTAATTACAATTGTTGAGTCGATTTTGCAGGCTCACCAAATTTTGGAGGCACGAAAAACAAACACCAGAAAGGAAATATGCTCTATACCTGTAGCTTTATCGGGCAAGGACTGCAATTCCAACATCCATTGCGATTTCACAATGTTGAGACTTGAGAAAGACGAGCATTTGTGTGGAGGAGCGTCTCAGACAATGAGGGAAGGAGAGACCAACTATTTTGTTACCTAGAATTAGAATTTTAATTTTTTGTTCTTTTTAGTCGTTAGTAATATTTGATTTTTTTATCTTATTATTATAATTAAATATGTATAAATTGTTATGATTTGACTTGGACTGGTCTGTATTGACGCAAATCGACCCTATCCAAAAAAATAACCTTAAAAATTGATTGCTTATTGAACAGTTGGAAAAACAATCCAAATAAGTGAGTTTAGTTTGAATTAATAGATTGCTCATTTCGCGTTTAATATCCACCTCTAATTCAAAGGATGTGCTAGAGACAAGATGGGGAAATATGGGTGAGCGTTGTGGAGTTAAGTTGTAACATTTATGTATAGGTGCATATGTCAAAGTGGAATTCAACAATGTTTTGAAGACTATCCCATTGAGGGAATTCAAATCTGTTTTGTATGGATTAAAATCAAATTTTTAATAAATTTTGATAAAAATTGATGAAATGTGTGATTGAAAAATGGTGAAATTCATGAAATATGTAATTAAAATTAATTGTTGACTTTGATCGATTTGATTGGTGGGCTTCGATGTATTCACCTTATTGGCCAGATGGATGAATTTAATTTAGTGTGGACTCTGCGAAGAAGATTCCAGGCAACACCTGTGAATAAAAACAGCTCACTCAATCTTGTTGTCCGAACAACACAAACTTCTAGGTTTTCTTTGACTATAATATTTTAATAGAGATTTTGTAGGGATAAGAACTTTTTGTTTGAAAATTCATAAATCATTGAAAATGTGCTAAAATTAGTTTTTGTTCGTAATTCAAAAGGAGTTTATCTGAACGAGCATTTATCTGAAATAGTAATAAAACGATATATAAGATAAAAATCATTAATTAAAGCTACGCCCATTCCATGAGGATAGATTTATTAATATTGAGTAATGCTAGTCATCCCCATCGGGGATGAAAATACAGTTTATGTGACGTTAATGTGTCATTAAATGATATGTGAAATTAAATAAGTCATTTAATTTCATCTTTCATTTAACATGTTATTTAAAGGCACCTAGACTGTGTTTTCATCTTCACTGGGGATGAATAACGTTACTCATTTATATTTTCACATAGATTGAAAAAATGTAATTAATACATTTGAAAATATGAATTTTTCTTATATATTTTCCTAATATACACTGACATTAAATAATGATTTAAATAGAATTATTTTCTATTTATTGATAACAAGATACATTAAATATTGACATATTAAAAAACTAAAAAAAAAAAAAATCTATAGTTTCAATAATAGAGTAGCATTTAATTTAGGACAAACAAAAAGGTAAATCAAACATATCTTTATGGGACGGAGGTAGTAACATTTTACTTTTACCTGTTTCTTACCAAGGTAACACTCCCAATTAGCCCTTGAATACATAAGAGAAACAATGAGAGAACATATAAATAATTTAAGAAAGTAGTAATTATCGTAAGTGATTCGCATTCCATCAAAATGATGTAATCTCCAATATACAATAGTAAGAATCTCATGTACAAGAAATGCAACTTAACATTAATCAAGTAGACAATTATCAAATTATTTATTCGATTCATAGCGAACAAAACTATAAAACATGTTTGATTGTGTTTTAAATTTTACTTTTCTTGAAAGTATAATCTACTTTCTAATATGTATTTTGTTAATAAAAGAGAGCCATTACAAAAATCATGCCTATTTTATTTGGGTGACGGCTCGAATTTCTATGTTCAAACAGTTATGTCATACCATACCGTCAGCTTTCAAAGAAAATATGTACATAGTATTTTTCACGAATTTATATTGTATCTCCAAGATTCGACCTCAAAATTTACGTTTCATGTGACTTTAGTTTAATCCTTGTAGCAATTAAGAAGATATCATAATTCATTTTAAATCTCATAAGCAAAGGTCTTGCTGGGGACGCGAAAAAAAATTGTGAGGAGTAAGAAGGGTAAAGACATTGGGCATAAAGACTTGAGTCGTTACAGTTTGATTTTTATTTTATTTTATTAAAATTCTACTTTTCAAAAATTAAATAATTGAGAAAACATAATCCAACAAATTCTATCTTATTTATTTCATTGTTGGAGCATAACGTGACAAACATTTTCTCTTATACCAAATATATTGTCTCAACAAAAATTTCCACACCTTGAATGAATACATTCAAGACATCCACAATATCTACACCCATCGATAAGGGTAGCCGCACCTGCACTAGAAGTCGCACAACAGTACAAACACTACTATTTATTTGAACCACCAAATAGATGTTATTTGTTTTTGTTTTGGATTTTACTGGTCACTGTTGGGTTAGTCAAAGGTCAAAGATGAACAGACTAGTGTGAATGGGCCAGGTTGTCTATCCAACCTTAATTATTCGTGCCCAAAACAAAATAAAATAAAAAGTTTTTATTACTATTGAGAGTAGTGGGTGATCTCGAGTAGTCAGCAGTGGACCCACCCCCACAAGAAAACAATGTTGATTAAGTAGGTCCCACAACATTCGACCAATTATGTCATTCTGTATCATACAATTGGTTCGCAAGGAATCTGTTTTATCCATCACACGTTAGCATTAATCCATCTTTTTTCCTTTTTACTCTTTCCTTCTGGTGAGTGGCGCTAACTGGGGTCAGTGAGTCAGGAGAACTAACTGGCTACTGCTTTTTTGCCCTTTCTGCTTTCTTTCATTTGTGGTTTGGGGGGCCATGGACGTCAGGAAGAACAGTCTGACTACTGCTACAAGGGTGGCGGGTGTCGTACAGAGGGCGGAGGCACGCGGGTGGGACGGGTGGTGGTATGAGTGGGGTGGGTTGGGGTGAGGTGGCGTTAGAACAGTGTGGGGGCAGGGGCCAGTAAACAGAGGACCGTGTATGTCTGTAGTCAACCGGGCAAGATTGCCGGTACAGCTACAACCTTTGGTTCCCCGATGCACGTGAAACAACTCTCTCGCACGTGTTCCCAGCTAAGCACTTTCTTATTTTGTTGTTCTGTCATTCCACCTTGGTTTTTAAATTTTTCCTTCAAACAGCTCCAACAAAAAACAAAAATAATTTTATTGTAGGAAAAAATTCAATTATTAAAATCGAACTTTACAATACGATAATTTATATATATCTCAACAGGGTGTCCAGTCTCTTTAGGCTCAACTTTATTAGCAGAAAAGCATTGTGCTCTAAGCGTCGTGAGCAAAAAGGTTCAAAAAGAAGAGTAATTTAGAAAGAATTTTATAATAAAAAGTCAATATCATAAGTAATAGAATATTAGAAGGATAATGCTACAATGCAGATTTTTGAACATAAAATTTGACATAATGCAACGTGGCATTTTATTATTTGACTGTTTTACGTACAGTCGGCTTTCATATCAAATCATTTTCTGTCACCTCAAATTATGTCAAAACATCTGCTAAAATTTTCTGTTAAAGTGGCAAAACCCATATTAGAATATCTACCTTTTTTGGTATTTTCCATTGTAAAAGTAACATGGCTTATGGCTCCCAACATTTCTTGTTGATGTCACTTAGAGTAGCATCTTTTCATTAGCAAAATTAGTTTAAAAATTCAGATGTCATAATCAACTTTTTCACTTTTTCATCATTCATTAATTTGTTGGGTGGAATCTTATCTATTGGAATGCAACATGACACATCACAAACAATTAATCATTTAATTTAATCGTATTACTTATATACGCATCTTATC